CCACTTTTGGCCCTTTGGACTTTTAGAAACTAAACACATTTTTCACACTCTTACTGGTTTATTTGCATATATATTTATATGTAAACCAAAAATTTTTTGTATATACATGCATGTGTATATATATATATATATATATATATAGATATATATATACATACATACATACATACATAAATGTATATAAACACGTTTTTTGACCTACCATTTGCGCAACAGTCTTTGGCATGCTTTCATTTCAATATGGTATACGACGAAAAAATTAAATTATAAATGTAATAAATGGAGCCAAACTACAGAAACTGCGAAGACTGCCCACTTTATATCAGTGTCAGGTAGAAGACAATTTCTCTGCTCACTTATGTGAGTTTATTATAAACAGACACAGGGCCGGCCCGTGGCATAGGCAGTATAGGCAAATGCTAAGGGCGCAAGCGCCTTAAACCCTAGAGGGGGCGCCAGAGCCGCGTAAGGAACTTTCCGTTTTTATTGTACTTCATTAACACTGCAACGAGTGGAGCAATTACTCTGCCAGTGGCGCAAAAAGTGGGTATACCGGTATGTGTAGCGGAGTAGGCGCCCTCATAAGATTTCATCATAGAATTTTGACAGGGGACCCCCCTCCAATAATATCGCGAGCGGGCGCGGGCGCCGTGAGCGCTGAGCGAACAGGCACGAGTAGTGAGTTGTCGTCGAAAAAGATAGATAAAGCAAAAAAGCGGCCGGGGGCTAAAATAGAAATAGCCCATTCGTTTTGTTTTGCTTAATCGGCGGCGCTGGGTTAGTGCTGGTGTAATGCATTGGTAAAAAAAAAAGATCGCACAAATCAATCTCGCCTAGGGCAACCAAAGGGCTAGAGCCGGCCCTGAACAGACACTTCTATAAACTTGTGACGTTTACTCAGATAGGGTTTTTATAATAAATTCAAATTATTTCAATAAATAATCAATTAAAAAGACATATACGTCATGCGCGATGCACGCAAGCACAGCAGATGACCTTCTGTAACGCCCACATCTGGAAAACACACTCTCCCACCGCTGTAATAAACACGAGAGATGTTAGTCCCGTCCAAATCAGTACATGCAATCACAGACGTGGAGAGATAACAATTGTTGACAACTCAAATGTCCTTTAGAAAACTAGTCCTGTCCGAATAGGGCTATAAATAAATAAATAAATGAAGGCATGATAAAGTTTCCTGGATCCATTTTATATGTGACCTTCCTATGACAAAAATATTTGTGTATTTAAATCAACCCCTGGGACATAAAAGTGTCTGAAGAAACACTTTGTTATGTCTCTTCAGAATATACAAAGAAAGAAGCACTTTGAAAATGTAATCCTTCAGGCATTCGTAACGGTTCACTAAACATGATCATCTAAGTATATTCATGTTATTCAAGCAGCTTTTCATTGAAGCACCAGATATGGAGCATTAGCATCACATAAACGATAAGATTGCCTTTCCTCAATCCAAATGTAGTGTATGCGTAAAGTTGCCACAAGGTGTTAGCGCCTCGCCCACAGCATCCATGTTGTTTGTTGTCTTACAGGCTGATTTAATTAGATAAGATTTCACGTGGGGTTGAACTTGAAGGCATTTGAGATTTAAGCCATCTGAGGCGGATGAAGAACTACAACATTAAGTGAGTCATGAGGAGAAGTGTGGAACATTGTATGCTCTCTGTGACCAAGCACACACTGCAGCTAAATACAGTTGTCACCTCTCTTAATCCTGTTCTGTACACACACGGTTGATATCTGCATCCTACAACAAACTCACGCTTGAAACTTCCAACCACATTTACCTAAAGCAATGTTCCTGGTTTATAAGGATTTACATGGTGTTGTCACTTTCGAAACATTGCATTGCATTTGTGGTGTGTGAAAGTTTCTACACACTGTGATTGAAAATATTTCAATACAATGACAACGTAGAAGAAGAATAAAAAATCAAGCATTATATTCAACCCAATATCCTTTGTAATTTTCCTTTTTGACATTATTTATTCTTGAAGTGAATTGCTCCAGTGTTTCTCTGAACCCATAAGGCCATTTTCACACAAGTTTTCTTTTTGATTTCTCTTGTGAAAAAAGTTACGTTTAGCATACTTTTTAAAATGACTTCATACTTTAAAAGAATAAACTTAAATGCTAACTGAATGTAATGTTCTTGGATACTTAATTGCAGTGCAAATTAAATTAAATCAAAATGTGTTAGTTTAAATTTATATCAAATGTAATTAGTTGAACTTAAGAGTGCTTTTTCACCCATATAAGGAGAACTTAAGTACATCTTTATATGTAATTCCATAATTCTCTTGTCTTTGAAATTCAAGTGTACTGCTGAATGTACTTCAAGCATTTTTGGTGAACTGAAATATACTGTACTTTAATGTCATTTCTATTGAAACTTGTATGTCCTCTAATTAAATATTTGCATATATATTTGTATTTACACATTTGTAACGATATTTACACATTTGCAATTTAGTACATTTAAGATGAATTAACTATGTAAATAATAAATGTAATTTCCGAGTACTTTACCTTCAGTAAAGCTTGACACAAGATTATTAAAACATGATCATGAAGATACTTTGAAAAACTTTAAATGTGTACTTAGTCTTAAATGTGTACTCTCTTTAAATGCACTTAAGTCATTTTTTACATTAATATATTATCTGCAAGTGCAGTTTTTAAAAACATATACTTTAATACATTCAGTACAGTTAAGCGCACTTCCTTTTCACAAGGTTTTCTCAGGTCAGGGCCGGGGCTTCTTAAAATGGTGGACACCCATTTGTAAGAGTAAAGGCTGGTTCACTTCTGTCCATTTGCTCTGTTGCTTCTGTGTGCTCTAGCACAGATTGCATAAAAATTCTAATCTGAGCTAAGCAGGAGATTTGCGGACAGCTGGCAGCTCATCTCATATATGTGAATCTGTACTTATCTTCCCTTTGCTTTCTCGACGCGTCTCTCTCACACATAACCCGAACATTAGTGCTCAAAACTTTCCTCCGCACATCTCATCCTCGAGCACGTATGCTGTTTCTCTTTTTACAGTCACTATCATTCACTTTTTGCTCTCTCTTTATCCTGCGCTCCATTGGAAAGTCTGACAGCTGCACTGGGACGGCTTAATATTTCAATCTCTCAATCGTTGTTGATCCCCAGACCTACATGACGGCATAAATCACGGAAAAGGGGACAGGTCTGAAGCTGTGCTGAAGAGTTAGGATCCCCCCTCCCTCCCTCCCGAGAGGACAGACAGATCCTCATTATAACGGCTGAGGATGAGAAATCATCGGAAGGATCAGAGAGACCCAAAATACAGATTCCGATAAGCTGAATGTTATGAATTATTACACAAAATGGAAAATAAGTTGTTTTATATGACCTTGTTTATGGTAAACCCACAAGAAATCTGCAGATTTACGCTTGATGCTTCTTTCTGCTGCTTTTTTTTACTTATTTTCTTTTTCTTAAATGATTTTAAAATGTTTGTTTTTCTTCTCTTCATCATAACCATGTAAAGCAGTTTTAATTGAATTGAATTGGGCTTTGCGATGTATCGAATTTTATTCATTTTTGCAGAAATTCTGCACAGATTCAATCTTTGCCTGTGTTTGTGTTGAGTGTTGGTCATTCTCTCCAGCATTTTTGGGCATTGGTTTTAACTCGATCGGTTTTGTTACGTCATTTTTGTAAGACATGTATTTTGTTACATAGCCCGTGCTACATTGTGTATGCAGAAAGCCGAATGACCTCAGCGGCTGTTGGTTTTTGAAATTAATTTGAGATTACTGCCTGGCAACAAACATTTAGTTTGATTACTTGTGAAGTGCTCCCTCTTGTGTTCAGACTATGAATATAAAAGGCTATTAATGATGTCGCATTGTGGTGTTCCATATTTATTACATGCTATGCTTACTGCATAAGGTTGATTTATCACAGAAAATAGTTTGACTTCTAAGTCATTTAAAAAATGCAAGTATGGTCCTTTCAATTTCAATAGGCAATAAAACATAACCGTATATAAAATGTATATAGTCATTTAACATACGTAACATACATGAGGCTAGTGAGAAAATTATATTCAATTTTTACAGGAATTAAAAGACATCTATCTTGAAAAGTAGTTCTAGCTCTAACAGATAATTGGGAAAACAAATAAATTATTACAGAATAATTTATGCAAAACTACAAGACTCAGATTTCTGCTTTTAATCTCTCTGGAATGGACTATATACTTTCTTTTAAAGTGTTTAACTGTACGTGCAATTTGCATTTATTTACACTACTGCTTGAGGTCAGCAAGGGTTTTTTTTTGTGTGTGTTGTTTATAAATTAATACTATTATTCAGCATGGATGCATTGAATTGATTAGAGTGACAGTAAAGACTTTTTTGTAATGTTACAAAAGATTTTTTATTCAACAAGAAAATGGTATCGGGCTTTCCACAAAAATACTAGCAGCAAAAACTTTTTTCAATGTTGATATAATAACAGTTTCTTGAGCAACAAATCAGCATATTAGATTAATTTCTTAATGATCATGTGACACTGAAGACTGGAGTAATGATGCTGAAAATTCAGCTTTGCATCACAGGAATTGATTACATTTTAAAATATATTAAAATAGAAAACAGTTATTTTAAATTGTAAGAATATTTCACAATACCAAGGCTGAATTTATTTGATACAAAAAATACAGAAAAAAAAACAATAAGAGCACAAGAGAATTTTCAAAAAAAAATAAACAAATCTTACCGAACCCAAACTTTTGACCAGTAGTGTATTTATTTTAAGTCAAAATTATTTTCTGTGACAATCACAAATGTCTCAAATGCTGAGCCTTTCAACATAGGAACATTTCTTTAATTCCAAGCTTTCACTCCTGAGCAGATCCAAACATTCTGCCACCGTCTTCATTTCTCATTTGGAAGTCGTGGGCTGATGATGACTCTTGTGTGTGGTTATCCCGTCCCCCCTTGCAGGTGACTGGTTGGCTGCTGAACCATCATTCTCGTCCTACTCCTGGGGATTTCCTGTCACGTGACCATATTCCTGCTTCACCTCCACTCCTAGAATGGAACCCAACAAAGTCCAGTCAGAGGGCGGGCTGAATGTGACCCTGACCATCCGGCTTCTCATGCACGGCAAGGTAAGCTGAGCCTGCAGAGCAGTACAGAGAGCAGTGGATGATGTCACTGCAGAGTGTGCCTGAGGGATGTGTCCTCTCCTGACCCACTGTTTCAGGCCAAGGTGAACCAGGGGTCGTCAGTACCAGTGACCTTTTAGACTCATTAAATCTCCGGAAGCAAGGGCTGAATATAAAATAGAGCCATTTTCTTACATTTTCATACAGTTACATGCTTGCAAAGATTTTATTGGTTCTTTTTTTTAATTCCTGCAGGAAGTGGGAAGCATCATCGGAAAGGTATGTTAGATGTGTGTGTATAAATATACATATATATCTATCCGTTTTAAGCTCTGAATCTAAATATTCAGTCCTTCTTTTTGCTACAGAAAGGGGAAACTGTGAAGAAGATGCGTGAAGAGGTATGTTTCTTGTCTAATTCATTTTACCAATCAATCAATCAAACTTTATTTATAAAGCACTTTAAAACAACCAGAGCGGACTAAAGTGCTGGACAGAAAATTAAATAAAAGACATAAAATACATACTTTATATAAAGCATATAATGCATATAACTCTTGTTCTGTTGGTATTTGTTTTTTATGTTCACGAATCACAGCGACCTCAATGTTCTATGTCCAAATATAATAATAGTAATTTGAAATGTACTTGTTATTTCCCCTTGCACCTATAAGTGTATTTTTGAGCTATTAAAAGGGTCATCTAGTCTCTCAGACAACAAGCAGAACAGGAACACGAGGGTTAACTTGACATTTGGTACCCTACAGAGCGGTGCTCGCATCAACATCTCAGAAGGAAACTGTCCTGAGAGGATCGTCACCATCACTGGACCCACAGATGCCATCTTTAAGGCCTTCGCTATGATCGCATACAAGTTTGAAGAGGTGCTGTCCTGAATACAGTATTTGAAAAGCTCACTTAACACAAACAAAATGTTATTTGTCAATGTTAATGGTACTGTATACTCTACCATCAAAAAGGTTTCATTTTTTTGAAAGACATTCGTTATGCTCTATATTATATCTATATTTAATCAAAAGATGCAGTTAAAACTGTAATATTGTGAAATAATATTAACATTTAAAATAACTGTTTTCTATGTAAATATATTGTAAAATATAATTTATTCATGAACTGCAATATTGTTGTGAAATAATATTAACATTTAAAATAACTGTATTTTCTATGTCAATATATTGTAAAATGTAATTTATTCCTGTGATCAAAGCTGAATTTTTAGCATCATTACTCCAGTCTTCAGTGTCACATGATCCTTCAGAAATCATTCTAATGTGCTTATCCGGTGCTCAAGAAAGATTTGGTTGAAAACAGTTGTGTTTTTATGAAACTGATAAATTCAGGATTCTTTGATTAATATAAAATTAAAAACAACATTATTTGTTTCTTTTACTGTAACTTTTGATCAATTTAATGGATCTTTGCTGAATAAAATATTAATTTCTTTCAAAAAATTTCTTTCGAAATTGGTAATACACATTTTTGAATAATCTCAGTTTTGATTTTCTTCTCTTTATATTTGGAACTTGATGGACACAAACCAAAAGGATAAGATTAGTCTGATTTCAATACACAAACATCTTCACAAAAAAAAATTAAAACAGTGAAACAAATTGTATAAAATAGATCATTTCACGTCTGAATTCGGATTAGATTAGCCACGTTGTTGTTGCAGCGATTTTAAAGTTTCGTTGCTTATGTAATTGCTTTCTGATATTTCTTCAGGATATAATCAACTCCATGAGCAACAGCCCAGCCACCAGTAAGCCCCCAGTCACTCTGCGTCTCGTGGTGCCCGCCAGTCAGTGCGGCTCCCTCATTGGCAAGGGAGGCTCAAAAATCAAAGAGATGAGAGAGGTACAAAACTGCCATTATTCTCACTGTCAGATCGTGGATTGCCATTGAATTTACTAGCCCATGTAGCTTTACCAAGCTGACCTTGTGGGCAAAACTGTATGACAGGAGTCGTCAACCACAAAGCCACAAATCCATAAAGTATATCTTAATATGCAACCAAACACATGCTATTATATCCCAGACTAAAAGACAAGAACATAATCAGCATTGCCATGATTACTCTACAGCAGGGCTCTTCAATCTTTTTTCGACCAAGGACCAAAGAATTGCGTTTTTTAAATGACTTCAACAGAAACATATGCTTGCATGCAGATGGCAACATTTGTCCCAGTGTTCCCCTGAGAGCTGTGTGGTCTCAGAGCAGATCACACCATCATCAGCACTGGATGCTCTGGATCATAAACTCTCTCTCTCTCTCTCTCTCTTTCCAGTCCACAGGAGCTCAGGTTCAGGTAGCAGGGGACATGTTGCCTAACTCCACAGAGCGCGCAGTGACAATCTCCGGCACCCCGGAAGCCATCATCCAGTGTGTCAAACAGATATGTGTGGTCATGCTGGAGGTACAGTATTGTACAGTATTTTTCAAGGGATAGTTCACTCAAAATGAAAATTGTCGTTCTATACTCCCCCCTCATGTCATTTAAAATGGCATTGTTGAAACTTTCTTTACACTGTTGAACACAAAAGCTCAAAAAGGACAGAAAAGCACTTTAAAATGTTCATTGAAGTCAAATTTTTTCATGCATTCATGTCTTTTTTTTCAAGTTGGCATTAAATGGAAGTTGTGATTTGCTATTGCTGTGATCTCATTAGAGTGACAGGTTGTCCCGCCCTCGCGGCGGGACAACCTATTTATTATGAGTGTAAAGATTCACACTCATAATAAATACTGCAGAATTGTCCATTTTGATTTCATGTCATACCTCGATCGTTTGGTGAAACGTAATACTTCTTTCTCGTGTGACGTATGGCGCTTAGACCACTTGATCCCCGCAATTGTATTGTAACTGTAAGCTCAAATTAAGGTCTGACTCCATCAACAACCAATGGATTGAACCAAGTCCCTGCCCTACATTTTTTTCATCACAATATGGAAGAAAAGTTCTGTCACTACTTCCATTTTATCATGACTTTAAGTGGCTATTTGCTGAAATATCCATCTTTTTGTCCTCTGCCCAATTTGCTGTGGGCCTCGACATCCAATTCATGAACAAATAGTTACTTTTGGTTAGATCTTTTTAATTAGTTGATCAAGTTCACTTAGAAGTCTTGGATATGGTGCATTGAGTCAAATGGACTACTTTAAGTATATTTTTTTAATACAAAAACATGGTTTTGCATCCTTTTTAAAGCTTGAAAGCTTTAGTCCCCATTCATCGTAATTGCATGGAGCAGAGCAACCAGTGCATACAGTAGTTCATTTTCCTTTTGTGTTCCACAGAAGAAAGTAAGTCCGTTTTGGAACAGCTTGAGGCTGAGTAACGAATGAATTTTCTTTTTTGGAGGGTGAAATCCATTTGTTATGACAATAACAATGGGGTGGATTCACTACCATACACACAGCCACACTCCATTACAGCCACCCTGCCAAAGAGAGACCACATTGTTTTACTTTTGATTAATGAGAAACACAAAGCATCCGTTGGCTTGCTTCCGCCATCTCGGTTTATTGATTTAAATGTTATTCTTATCCACCAATGACGTGCAGGGCTGATTTCCTGCCGAGGTGAATTGTGCTCTGATTGGGTGTTATGGAATGATTTTCATTCTTCGCTTGTACAGACACAGACATATTTCAAACGTAATCAGATCGCCTGGGAAGTATTGTCTCATCCTTTGTGTGTAGATGAAATTTTAGGGCTATTTTTTACCTTTACAAATGTGCAGTATACTGAACTATATAACTGCAGTTATTATTCTACCCAAAATTCACTGCGCTTGATTTGACCTTCCATTTTCAGAAGAAGTGGAAATAATATCAGCCATGAATTTGAACTTGTGAATTTGAACCCCTGGCCTGGCGAATACGAATCCTTAAGCGTTGGGGTCTCACAACATACCTGACTTTGTTTTCGTACAACTTCACCACACAAATGCTTCACCACGCACACCTGTCTGCACCTGTCTCCTGGTCTAATGCTGTTTCTGCCTCTACCTCTTCCCCTCTCCTAGTCCCCACCGAAAGGTGCCACCATTCCCTACCGCCCAAAGCCCGCCTCCACCCCCGTCATTTTTTCAGGTGGCCAGGTAAGAGCCGACCCGCTGGCGGCGTCCGCAGCCAACCTCAGCCTTTTACTGCAGCACCAGCCACTGCCTGTTAGTTCACTCAGGTTTTCTCACCTTCTCACTCGCATGTTGTCACACCATCCTAACCAGGGGAATGCTTGCAGAGAGGAAGGAGCTTTAGATTGTGAATGAGAGTTCAAATCTGTCCTCGGAGGACTCAATAAGGAGAGTTTGCTCTTCTGCCATCTCATATTTCAGTGCCTTCTACTGCCATCCAAAAAGTGAATTTTAAGCAAATATGGAAATGAAGTGAAACGCACATTTTTATTTTGTCTTTCTGGCGCAGTATTATAAGACCTCTTGGAAGGTGCTTGGAAGTTTAGTTCACTTTCAATCATTTTGCAAGTTATTACGAGCATTTCTGTGTAACTATGTGCATTTTGAACTTTAGTGCTTTCATATTCCAAACGTTTTGGCCATTATCATACAAAGTTAAGACATGAAAGCATTTGAAATGAGCCATGTACTGAAAAAGAGTGAAAAACTGTACTCATACAAATTTAGGGTTTAAACTGCCCTAAATCAATAAATTAGGACAGAAATCTATTTTTATTGCATAATTATATTAGTCATTTTCTTAAGCCTTTGTTTAAATCATAAATCAACATGTTGGGCCGCTTTAACAAACAGAGTAATGTTTCAAAAAGTGGTTACACACTTCAGGAGATCAACTTACAAATGCCTTATAGTGGTCTCTGTATATTAAACTGGGAAAGAAAAACATTTGATATATACAAAATCGTACACTTAACCTTTACATGGCAACGAATGCATTTTGGCTGCTTTGAGTGCATTTTAATTCTAGATCGACGTTCACTCTTATCGCAAAGTAAACTCCTCCCTCTCAGAGCAAATATCATATCCTTTTAATATTTTTCAAAACTTGAAGTGTAACTTCACTAGAAACTCTAAACGACCTGGATTTGCATTATTTTGAGATTCCGATAAAAATTGAAATGTCAAGTTATAAATATTAAATGGATATGCTATCAAACAAAGTCTTCCCCACTCATTTGCTAACCAACACAAAAATTCCACTAGTCTAACATTCCATTGATGAATAATAATAATATCCTTTAACAGAGCTCTCAACATCTTTTTAGCATAACTCATTCATGAGCACTTCATGCAACATGACCATAGATGCCACATCACGGCTTTTACATTAAATACAACATGATTATCAGTGTGACGCTTTAAATTGAAGTTCTCTGGAACATATTATACTTGCTTAATTTTGTGTACTGTCTTAAATAGAAAACTTGAAGGATGTTATATATATTCATCTATTCAAATGGTTCAGAAATAGATTTGATTGTATTGTCGGGTATATTTACCAAAACAAGGAATGTGTTCATCTGTTATTTACAGTCAGTATAAAATATATTTTAAGCATACTGTGTGCACTTGCACACAAACAGATAAGAAAAGCCAGAAGGAGTGTTGTAAATTCGTGTGGAGAAGCCTCTATTATTTAAGGCACTGAATATTATTACTGTACAACTACTCATGAAATTATTCACATAAAATATGAAAGAAATTTTCAGCTTTTGAAGCCAAATGCTTCTGTAAAATATTAATAGATCCTTTAGCGGTTATGAATCAGTTAGTTCTTGTGTTTAATGGGCCCTGCAGCCTTGGTAAAATGTTGATTCGATTTTTTTTCTTTCTTTTTTTCTCTCCGTCTTCACAGGCTTACACAATTCAGGGACAATATGCCATTCCACACCCAGATGTGAGTCCCCAGCCATCCACCCCCTTCCCCCCAGCACCGTCAGCAGTCTGCATGGCTATGTAGTTTTCAGTGTGGACCTCTCTATTAATATTAAGCAGTAATATTAATATGACGTTTCTGATGTGTAATTTATTTGTCGCATTACAATCTGAAAATGTTTTCAACTTCAGCCCTCCGAAATGTAAACCGAACTTCTAAGGACTTGGCCTGTTGGAGGAAATGACACTGGTTTGTCATTTTCTAAATGGTCCGCACAGACTCGTAACGCTCTGGTAATTCAAAAGTGACGTGCATACCTAATCAAGTGGTTCTCAAACTTTTAAGACCATCAAGAACCACCTTTGATCATTTTTTCCATCTATTTTTTTTCCCCACCATAACATTTCTGTGAGAAACATAAAACCATCTTTGCACTTCTGGCCTTTTAGGAGTTCTGTGAAATCCTCTGCCGGACTTGTTACATTATTGATAGAAGTATCAAAACCAGGCAAACAGAATTATCTCTCTCTTTTTTTCTTGATTGTCATTCTATTTTTAGCATACGCAGCTTAAGAATGATCATCACTTTATCTGTTTGTACCTTACCTGTTGCATTAGTTTTACATGCACAAAGCTTTTTGCTTCAGAGGAATAAATTGCATTTTAAAAACGTTTATTATATTTTATATTAAAAAAGAAAGCCGTTATTTTAAATAATTGTTCGCAGTGTTACAGTTTTTAACTGTATTTGATCAGATAAATACAGCCTTGGTGAGCATAAAACTTCTTTCAGAAACGTTTTAAAAAGTACTACAGACACCAAGCTTTTAAATTGTAGTGTATAGATGGGAAATGAGAAGGAAAACATGGGGAAAATAAAGATAACAGTATTTTCCACCTGCAACCAAATTTACAGATCCCAGTTTGAGAACCACTGATCTTTTCAAAATTGAAGCATGCTTCCAAATCTAGAGTATTCTTTTATCCCGATAGCTGTGTTTTCCTTACTGATAATCTGAATGAATATCTTTCAGAGAGAAGGAGAGATGCCGTGTGTTAGTCCTTTTCATTTAAGATTGGCAGTGATTGATGCTTTCTGACGCTTCAGCTGACACTGCAATAACTCAAGTAGAGGTTGGCCATCCCTTTCAACCTTCTTTAAAGTCAGATTTAGGGGGAGTACACAACAACATCCAGTGCAAGTCTGCTCTGGTTCAAAGACTCGTGTGTCCTCTGAAGGTTGCCCGAGCACTTACATGTTCATATCTCTGATAAATAACGGTTCACTCGTAACTTATACCCTTCAGAGGCATTCGGGGTATATAAAATCACAAACTAAACTCACCTTTGATATTGAAACAAGGAAATTTAGTGCCTATCATCGAAATAACTTTTGTACTAGAGTCCGATTGACCTTTCTTTTAGCTCCGCCCGCTCGGTTACCGTTGCTCGCTCAGGCACGCTTTAGTTTACAGAATGTCCTATAAGAATTAATTTGGACATTTCTGTGAACAGCATCATTTTCAATCAAATAAAATAATATTAAAATATTAAATATTTGATTGGATAATGGATATTCTTGTGTGGTCTGGAAGTCTTTTAATTTTGGGGGGGAAAACCCAGTAACATGATTAATTGGCAAATGCTTTATTTATCAGTAATTTAGCGAAGGTCAGTTAGCGATCAGATGAGGTTAACCCACCAAGTCAGGCCAAGTCCTACTAAAGTTTCAATCTCTTCAGCTTTCTCTTTTGCTCTTCTTCCACCACAGTGTGTCATGGCTTCTTATCCTCTTTGTCTCTTTGTTCTAGTTTAGTTTCTTGATTTCTTGGTGTGACCTGTCGTATAACAATAACCTCTTAGCTCTACTGTCCCTCCAAACCCTCAGCAGTTGACCAAGCTCCACCAGTTGGCTATGCAGCAAACCCCCTTTACCCCCCTCGGACAGACCACCCCTGCTTTCCCTGGTACGTACCCACGAGCCCTTTTGAAGTTTCCTTCTCTTTGTACCTGTAGAGACGCTCTCTTTGTCTTTCTCTCTCTCTCTTTCCTTCTCGTTCCATGTCAAGCATCATGACATGCCCGTGGTGGTTGCTCTTCACTTTGTTTTTTTACTTTTTTTGGGAGGGGGGTGCTGTTTGTTTAAAAATGTATGTTACTGCTTTTGTTTTGTTTTGTTTTGTCTTGGTTTCTTTTTATCTTGTTTTGTTTTGTTTGGCCTTGTATTCTTTTGTTTCCTTTTCTCTTGTTTTGTTTGTTTTTTTTCCCTTTTTTTTTTTTTTTTTTTTTCTTTTGTCTGGTTTGGTCAGTGTTTTATTTTATTTGGTTAGTTTTGAGGAAAAAAGATTAGTCATAAATTTCAGAAAATGACATCTCACTGTTATACTAACTTACCTTGCGTTGTTTTTTTGGGTTGACTTTTTCTGAAGTATCTAATCCTGTTCTGCTAAGACCCAGGATAAAAGATAGTGAAGTTTTGCTGCTTATGCAACATTAACACGTACAGGGGACTAATGGTGTAGAATTTTATGCTCGAAAGAAATTACTAGTGGCACAAAAAGTGTTTTTTCCTGCCCTTGAGAAACTAGTGTAAGAGAAGCATATCAGTGTTTTGATTTTACAGACCACAACACATCTTCCATCAAGCCATTCATTACGTATTCATCTTGATAAACACTGTCTTATACAAGCTCAGTTTAAAGCTGTTTCTAAGGGCAAACTCAATGCCATGCGCTGAGTAGAACATGCTTAGCTATTCACACACAGTATATCACACACACATAGCAAATATATGTTTGTGTCAGACCAAGGACATACTATAGGAAAATTGACTGATGACAAAATGTGAGAACCGCTAGAGATATTTATGGTAGTTCGAGGTGAAAAAAGGGCTTCATAAAAAGCCTCTGGAGGACTAATAGTTCCTCACACTCTGCACCTGGTCCATTAAGGTCACCAAGTCTTCTAAAGCGCACATGTCATAATGAGTGTGTATGAGGTGCTGTTTATCCTAGGCTGTCTCTCGAGCTTCCCTCTGCTCTCTGATCCAGGTCTGGATGCCAGTCCCCCGGCCAGTACTCATGAACTCACCATTCCCAATGATGTGAGTATAAAGATTGATGCTCAGTTTTGACTCCCAGTCCTTTGTCAGAAAATCCGAAAATAATTGCTGTCATAACTGAAGACAGAAATTAATTTCAGTTTATTTGAGAATAATGTCTGATGTAGAGTCCATGTCAGTTTTTTTCAAGAACAAATCTACGTCAAGTCTCAAGGCTTTTAAGTCTGAAAATATTCAAATCCCTTTTAAAAAATAGTTTTGTACTCCTGCAGGTTAGTTTTAAGTGTAAGTTAATTTATTGGTGATGTACACGTACCGACGTACACAAAAGTAAGATTTTTAAAATGTTTTTCAAAGTGTCTTATGCTTACTAAGGCTGCATTTATTTGATCAAAAATATAGTAAAAATGTGTTATTGTGAATTATTATTAGTTGAATACAGTTGTGCTACTTAATATGTTTGTGAAAACCGTGATGCTTTTTTTCAGGATTCTCTGATGGATTCAAAAGAACAGCATTTATTTGAAATGATAACTTTTGATACATTAAAAATGTCTGTACTGTCATTTTTTTATATTGAAAAAATGCATTTTTGCTGAATAAAAGTATTAATTTCTTTCAAAAGAAGATCCCAAACTTAGTTTTGAATGGAAATGTAAGTGTGACTCGATTCTATGTTTCAAACTTGAGTTTCCATCTCTAGTTTATCCAGTTGGATCCTACAGTATTTGATTCATTCCCATTAGAAAATTCAATTTGCATTTTTGCTGATTGCTGACTGTCACAAAACTCAAGCATACCTACCTACTCCACTCAAATATTCCATTGTGAATACTACAAAACGGATCATACTTTCTGTAACATGAATACCTTTTAAGAACCATTGCGCTTTCTTCCCAGCTAATAGGCTGCATAATCGGGCGCCAGGGAACCAAAATCAACGAGATCCGTCAGATGTCTGGAGCGCAGATCAAAATAGCTAATGCCATGGAAGGGTCATCAGAGCGCCAGATCACCATTACAGGAACCCCCGCCAACATCAGCCTTGCCCAGTACCTCATCAACGCAAGGTGAGCCCATCCACGTTTCACAAAAGTGTTGGCATGTTCTTCCAAACGGCAGTAACCTAACTTTTTTTTTAAAGGCCGCATGCTGTTCTAGCTCAACACAGTTTCTTAATAGAAGCTCATTTAGGGTCATCGCATATGCAACAGTGTTTTGTTTTGGGGAATCAGGGATGCTTAGCAACATACCCCTCTAAATCTGTTCTTGTGTGTGATTTTGAGGCTTGCAGGGTAGCGGCCGGGGCGATACTAATGCTTATTGCTTTCCCACGGTTCTGATGGCAGGTTCAGAGACGTGGCAGCCATGTGGAATGACCCTTCATCAATGACTACATCCTGAAGCCCCAAACTGCTTTCATTATCTGAAGCTATCAACAGCTGATTCCCAATAATCCTTACATACAATCTTCCCTTAGAACTCACCAACCCCTTCCCTTAAACCCCATGGTCAACTTCATCAGTAGCTTCACTCATGTAGGCAGACTACTGAAATCTAAAAAAAAAAAAAAGAAAAGAAAAGCAGGACAACTGTAGTATGATTTGTTCATGTCATGCAGTGTTTCAGTGTAGTATTTTAGCATGCTGAATGCTTGGATCTTGTTATATATTTATTTATTATTTGAAATGAGATAGTTTAGTTCAGCATGGTTGCTGAATAAGTTTTGTAGTTTGACAGCAAAGCCTAACATGATTTAAAAAAAGAAAAAAAAAAAAAGAAAAAGGATTGCATCCAATAGCATTTTTAGCAATGCTGTTGGCAAGGAGCTAGTGATGTGATGCAGATGTTGTAATGAAGTACAAATGCATGTCAGAAGCGAGGAGATGTTGGAAACTGTGTTTCTTTGGAGGCGGAAAAGATTTTATTTTTTACATTTGACTGGCTTGATTGTTTTCAGCTTGAACCGAATCGAAAGAAATGCATGATTATTACTCAACGAGGCGGAAAAAGCGATCATTCTTGTACAGAAGTGTTGAATGCTTTCAGAATTATTTTATGTTATCTATTTTTTTCTATCTTTTCCTTACCCCTCCCCCTTTTTCCTCTTCCCTTAACTATTCTAGGCTGACGTCTGAGGTCACTGGAATGGGCACTCTCTAATTTCTACCCATGATCCTTCACTGCATCACATGACCCTTGAGCCAATGGCATTGCACCTAGTTTGTTTTCTCTCTGTACTTTTGCTGTCCTGTATTTTCAGTACTTTTGACTAATTTATATTCTATAATGTGCACATAATGTTCCTCCTACTCAACCTCTGTTGTGCTCCTGATGGTCCTTTACTTATTACCTGTTTAGTTTAAAAGACACTTTACTTTTTTTTGACTCTCTAGTACCTCATGTCACCGTCGTCCAGTTTTGCCATAGCTTTCACTGTGAGCTCACATTTTCCGGTCCGTTTTCTATGGCGTGGTACAGCTAAGCCAGTGAAATCCTACACTTGTTTCCAATCTTTCATTTAGTCAGACTAAAATTGTAATTTTTATAGCAGCGGTCCTGTGCTTTGCTCCAGGGCTTTGCTCATCAGGTACCTTACAACCGTGCATCTTATACATGTATAATGAAACAACCTGATAGAGTTGGAATGTTTGCACCACGCCTGTACGATTTGTTTGCATCTATCATTGTGGCATGCGGAGTAACACAGAGAATCCATTATTAGCCACTTGTATTCACTTTCAGAACAGAAAAAATCATGTGAAAACAAAGGATACGAGGATGTGTAAGCCATGCTCACGGCTTTACTGCATGCTGAGACATTTCAATTCAGCCCACAATCTTAGTGTAAGTAATTGAATATATTACAGCAGAATTATTTATAGAATATTTTTATATGCGACGTGTTTTTGGAGTAGCATGAGAAATACAGAAGCTTTATTCCTTTGGAAGTGAATACAGACCTACTGATAATGAAATCCGCCCCATACTCCTCTACCATACGGCCTCTGTGTGTATGGTAAACACTCACGTAGGGTTCAAAATTAACTTTTTTTTTGCCATATCTACCAATGTTTACCTGCTATAAAAAACTGTATTTTGCATTTTTTGGGATCTGCGCCAATAAGGGCCTCATTTATAAAACGCGTACATGATCGGACTTTATTCTAAATTCTCTTTCATCCTGCATCAAATGTTAGGAATATATTGGAATTTATAAAGGTCAAAATTGACGTGAAAATGTCCTTGTGTGTATGCCAACTGAAGAGCATGCATACAAACTTTTTGAACTCGTACCAGTAATGAAAATAATCCAATGTCATTTATAAAAAATGTAAAGATAAATAGACAATCGTAATGTGCATTAATATTATTATATGATGAGCAACTGCTTTGTGATAATTAAGTCACTGAAATTCATTAATTCATTATATAAGATTTCCTGGGGAAAAAAATATTGTGTGTATGGACGTTTTATAAATCATTTGTATTGGAACATTTGGGAAATAGTGGTACGTTCACATTTAGGAACATTAAGGGGCGTTCACACTACGCTTTTCATTCCATTGGCTTCCATTCAAATGCATGTGAACGTTGGAGACCGGAAACGCAAACTAATGCGAAGAATTTTCACATTTCAGAGCGTGCCAAAGTCAAGTTTGGAAACCTCTGACCTGTGAATTCGCATGGAAGATCGATATGTCACCTTTGCAGTAAACTTTTGGGATTTATTATTATTTGTTATATGTTGAATTTATGTTTGTCATAAAGGCGCAGTAGAGTGTGACGTCATATCACGACTGTTGCTCAAAGTCTAGTGTGACCACGGCTTTATATAAATGAGGCCCCTGCTAAATTTGATACATTTTTACTCACATTTGGTATTTGATTAGTGTTCATTTTGGACCCTGCCCTCATGCGTTCAGCAACACCCTTCATTTTGACAGTGTTTTCCATATTGCACTCTAAAAGCCATATTTATCAGTCGAACCGAAAAGACACGCACAAGCTCTGCATGCGTCAAACGAGACTAAAAATTCGTTCTCCACTGACAGATAAACATGCGTACACACTCAACACAGCTGCCAAGAGCGTACTTCTGCTACATGGCAATACTACTTGCTTTGTTATGTTCCCGAGGCCAACTCATCAATGATAAGTCAGGATCATTTCTACGTATCTCGGGCTCTGGAATGTTCATGGGTTTAGGCCAGAATTTCAAATGTGATTTCGGATTTACCACCCTGGTCTGCTCTTAAACATGATTGTTTCTTTAATACAGTTGTTTTATTACAGTTAAGGACACTGCGTTGTTTTATGATTATTACTGAAACCCTTGATTCTTACTGTAAGTGTGTCACCTCCTGCTGATCAGCTCTAATAATATTTTTCTCACACACAAAATTGGATTGACTTCAGGCTATTTATGTTGCATGTTTTGCTGTGGACAATTATTATTAAGACAGCCTGTGTACACTCTAAATGATGCATACATATTCTTTACTATTATATTATTATCCTATTGGCACCTTCAATTATAATTTCATCCCTGCTAGAAATGTGTAATTTCTGCGGCACAAAACAATTGCAATCTGTTTCTTTGAGCAACCCGACTGGCGTAAGTTTGGGGGGCAGACATGTTCTAATAAATGTGATGCATCATAATAGAGAAGTATAAAAAGACCCTCACTGCATTGAAACGCTTTAAGTACGGAGACCTTAAAAATGAATGTGTAGTGCCGTAAATCCCACCTTTTGTACTGTAAATACCTCTTGAGAAATTCTCCTTCCTCCAAAACTAACATGTCGTGCCATGCATGTTGAAGATTAGCGGCAAGGCACTCAATTTATTATGCGTTTCCACACAAAATTTGTTTAGTCACTGTACCCTGAGGCATTTCGTCCTTTGACTTCCTTTCAATGATTGAAGTCATTATTTTTGCCATTTTGTGGCGAACAAATTACCGGTACACACTTCAGTTCTCACCCAACCAAAACTGTCGGTGTGGTGTAGCTATAGTTAAGCAATTTAATCCCAGTATTGAAGCCGTCTGATTAGGTTTTAAGCAGAGGTCATGTTGAGTTACCCTTTTATTCAAATCTGAACGTTTTCAGTCAGCAATCAATATGTATTTCATCCTCCACATTTAAATGTCTAAAATGTGGTATTGAGGCTGAAAGTTGAATGTAACTGCTTCAACATTTGATTCATTATTCAACCTCTAGTTTACCTTCCTTGCCATTTTCCAATTGCACTAGAGGTTTTCTTTCCCAGTCTTATAACGGAAATGCTTTCTCATTGAGGTAATCAGGTACAAAAGCATGCATTTAGGCTATAAAGATATATATTTCTATATTTTTATTTGATATCTGTTGAGCAGTATCATGCACTGCAGCCAAATCTTAGATATTATGCACCCAAGAGTTAATCTACACCAAAATCAGACATTTTATGATTTAATGTCCGCTATGAGCGCAGAACTTTTATAATATTGGGATTGAACTCTAAAAGGTATGTACATGCTGAGCCATCCGTGCACATGGCCGGAAATGATGTCATACTGTTGCTTTAAAATAACTAATTTATCTGGAATTATTCAACACATTTTGTTGTTGTTTTTTAGATTCAGCGTTCAGTTTCTTGTTGTCACATAATTTACCATACGTTTGCACTGCTTTGAAATGTATTTTGTGTCAGTGTTTTAGGCTCTGTTATACATTAAGTTAGATTGTATGTTTACACAAGACTATGTCTTGTGATATATGTATGGAATGTTTTATTTGATATGTTTAGTCCATAATGTGCTGTACTCTAGATCACTGTACAGATGCATATTAATATTCAGACAGCAGCATGCGTAATTTTGACATTTTTCAGTAGCAGAATGCTTTACCAAGGGAGGCTGTTGTTATTATTTATGTCTATTGTAATGCCTATTATTTCACAAATGCAATAAAAATAAATGTTCGTTTAGGACTGCAGTGGCGTGTCGAAAATGATTAACTGTTTGGTGGGAAACTCAGTATGGCATTACAAACGGCTTTTATATTTATTTAATTTTGTTTCATCTCTGCCCGACCTCATGATATCACGTGATGTGTTTCTCATGCAAATCATGTGGTTACTTTGCACTCATAATATTAATACACATTAATTCACACTGTGCACATCTGAAATCATTACATTCATTTTGTTGGTCATGCAGTTTTTCAATGTACTAGAGCAGCAAAAAGAAAAAAAGAAGAAAAAAAAGAAGCCCTCTCTACCTGTCTGTCTGTGCTGTGGGGGGGATGGGGGGATGTGGTGGGGGGGGGAGGTAAAAGAGTGATTATTTTATGTTGGACAATTTGCTGCTTGCAAGTCTATATTAGATTCAAAATTTCTGCTGAGTTTAGTTTAACTTTGAAATGTTTTGTAAAAAGGAGAGAATAAAGTTTGTTTTTCCCTTGAATTTTTGTGATGCCTTGTTTTTTTATCATTATTTATTATTTGCAGTTCATTGGTCTAGGTAGAGAAATGAACCAGGGCTTAGGGCAACACAAAATATGATAAATATGAATATTAAATATGCTTTGGCACTTTTTATCCAATCCTTACCACTAGAGGTCGCTAAATGTTGTAATTAGCTTCATGTAAATTGACCTGTATATGATATTGCCTCAAAAAGTGTTTGCTCAAAAACCCACTATTTAGTATAAGCTTTACATTTCTGAGATGCTTTAGCATAACCTCAAACAAGCATTATAGAATTGCATTTAAAGTGATTAATTGTCAAGCTGGAGAT